AAAAAACTTTTTAAATAGTTCCTTTCAAAAAAAACTCCGCAAGATATCACATAATTGATAGGATTTAGAAAGATTCCTAATAGCAAATTAATATCTTGTACGCTTTTTCAATCTCGCCGGTTTATTTAGCAATAGAAAAATAGAAAATAAGAATTATTGGGGCGTATATATTCTATATATATCGGCAATTTTAGTATTTTAGTATAATTTAGTATAGATGACTATAGAGGATAAGGTTCCGTTGGAACAAGTTTTTAATTCAATTCAAAATTCCTCGTTAATTTTTTTCTTCAACAGAATCTAAAATGGGGGGATCTATTTAAATGACAAAAAGATATTGGAACATCAATTTAGAAGAAATGATGCAGGCTGGAGTTCATTTGGGTCATGGTACTAGGAAATGGAATCCTAAAAATGGCACCTTTTATTTTTACAAAGCGTAAAGATATTCATATTATAAATCTGATCGTAACTGCTCGTTTTTTATCGGAAGCTTGTGATTTGGTTTTTGATGCAGCAAATAGAGGAAAAAATTTTTTAATTGTGGGTACTAACAATAAAGCAGCTAATTTAGTAGCCCGAGCTTCCATAAAGGCCCGATGTCATTATGTTAATAAAAAATGGCTTGCCGGTATGTTAACGAATTGGTCCACCACAGAAACAAGACTTCAGAAGTTTAGGGGACTTGAGAATGGAACAAAAAAAAGGGGGGTTCCATCATCTTCCAAAAAGAGATGCAACTGTGCTCAAAAGACAATTAGCTCGTTTCCAAAAATATCTGGGTGGAATTCAATATATGACAGGCTTACCCGATATTGTAATCATTATTGATCAGCACAAAGAATATATAGCCTTGCGAGAATGTATAACTTTAGGAATTCCAACAATTTGTTTAATCGATACTAATTGCGACCCCCAATCTATCAGACATTTCAATTCCAGCAAATGATGACGCTATCTCTTCAATTCGATTGATTCTTAACAAATTAATATTTGCAATTTGTGAGGGCCGTTTTAGCTATATAAAAAATTCTTGATAAAGAAATTAAAAAATAACTAATAAAAAACTTACTTCAAAAATAACATAGATTCCTTTCATAAGTTAGATTTTTTGATTTGTTTCTATTATTCTATTAAAAAGGACAAGATCCAATTCAATTAGACAAATAGATTTTGGCATTAAAATAATTAAGGGGGGTAATATGAATCTTTTTTTTTTTTCTAGCAATTACCCCATGGGGTTATACGAGATATCTGGTGTAGAAGTGGGTCAACATTTATATTGGCAAATAGGGAATTTCCAAGTACACGGCCAAGTACTTATCACTTCTTGGGTTGTAATTGGTATCTTAGTTGGTTCTGCTACTCTAGCTGTTCGCAACCCACAAATCATTCCTAATGGGGGTCAGAATTTATTTGAATATGTTCTTGAATTCATTCGAGATGTGAGTAAAACTCAAATTGGAGAAGAGTATGGCCCTTGGGTTCCTTTTATTGGTACGATGTTTTTATTTATTTTTGTTTCTAATTGGTCCGGGGCTCTTTTACCTTGGAAACTACTTAGATTACCTCATGGGGAGTTAGCCGCACCCACGAATGATATAAATACTACTGTGGCTTTGGCTTTAATTACGTCAGCGGCATACTTCTATGCGGGTATTTCAAAAAAAGGATTAGGTTATTTCGCTAAATATATAAAACCGACTCCGATCCTTTTACCGATTAACATCTTAGAAGATTTTACAAAGCCTTTATCACTTAGTTTTAGGCTTTTCGGTAATATTTTAGCTGATGAATTAGTAGTTGTTGTTCTTGTTTCTTTAGTCCCTTCAGCAATTCCGATACCCGTCATGCTTCTTGGATTATTTACAAGTGGTATTCAAGCTCTTATTTTTGCAACCCTAGCCGCGGCGTATATAGGTGAATCCATAGGGGATCATCATTAATATTAATTACTTTGAAAATGGATAAAATGAACTAATGGCTAATGAGGGCCTAATTGATTCATTATATCATTAACGATTTCTTTTTTTGTTACGTTTTGTTACGAGGAATTACTAATGAATCCACTTATTTCTGCCGCTTCCGTTATTGCTGCTGGCTTGGCCGTAGGACTTGCTTCTATTGGACCCGGAATTGGTCAAGGGACCGCCGCGGGTCAAGCTGTAGAGGGGATCGCGAGACAGCCTGAGGCGGAGGGAAAAATCCGGGGCACTCTATTGCTTAGTCTAGCTTTTATGGAAGCTTTAACAATTTATGGATTGGTTGTTGCATTAGCACTTTTATTTGCGAATCCTTTTGTTTAATTTAGAATGGTAAGACTAATAAAGAGACTCTTGAGGCTTTTTTTTTTTTCAAATTCTATTAAAAATGCCTCTTGGTATTACTTTATTGGTTGAGAAAAAAACCTTATGATACACACGAAATAATAATACTTATTCTATTTTAATTGCTTTCATCCTTTTCACTCGTAGTTTACTCGTAGTTTAAGGTTACTTTTTTTAGTGAGGCTTAGTAGATCCGCAAAATACACTAAAATAGAATGTGTATTTAATCTTATTTAATATTTAATTAAGAAGTTCTAAAGATTTATTTATTATTTATTTCATAAATTGAATAAAATAGAAATAAAAAACAAAGTGAAGTAAAGAGTGTTGTTTTATTTTAGTCTATACTATAAAAGAGGAGAATTTATGAAAAGCGTAACCGATTCTTTCCTTTCTTTGGGCCACTGGTCATCTGTTGGGAGTTTCGGGTGGAATACCGATATTTTAGCAACAAATCTAATAAATCTAAGTGTAGTTCTTGGAGTATTGGTCTTTTTTGGAAAGGGAGTGTGTGCGAGTTGTTTATTTCAGGAATAGGCTGGACTAACCAGCTGTACTCTTACTCTTTATTTTTATGAAAACTCGGAGAAAGAGGTGCATTATCTCGCGAATTACTTCTGAATAAATAAATTCTCTGTAAGAACCATAGCATTTCGTCATTTACTGGTAAATCAACTTTGATTCTCTCTCACCCAAGACTATGATACTATGAACATGGTTAAAAAAATCATTTGAAGTCAAGGCACTATATGGTACTCTTTCTATCACTATGTTCATTATAGAGATATTTTCAAAAATAATATTTGATCAATAGAGGATGCTCATATTGATTAAACTAAAGGAACCCCTTAATCTTTATTTTTTAATTTTTCACAAAGAAGGGAAATTTCCCCTGTTTATCCAAATCCAATGCTAAATTGACGGCCTGTGTTTATAAATAAGTAATAAAATCTTTTGAAAAAAAAAATAACTTTGCTGACAATTACCGATTTTTTGGTTGTTTTGTTAGAAGAGTCCTCATCTGTTTGGAATATTAACAAAGATAAAGAAGAAGGAAGAGAGGATAAGCTCAATGGAGTAATAAAGAACCAAAAAAACATATCATAATTCTTATGAAGTTTGATTTGAAGGAATTGAGCTTGAGAGCCAAATGAATTGAAAGATTCATGTTTGGTTCGGGAAGGGGTTTTTCTGTTTTGAAATCAAAGCAAAAAAAAAATCTACTTTCATTAAGTGATTTATTAGATAACCGAAAAAATAGGATCTTAAATACTATTCAGAATTCAGAAGAACTGCGTGGGAGGTCTATTGAAAAACTAGAAAAAGCCCAAGCTCATTTATCTAAAGTAGAAAGGCAAGCCGAGGAGTTTCGACTGAATGGATACTCTGAAATAAAACGAGAAAATTTGAATTTGCTTAATTCAACTTCTAATATTTTAGAACAATTTGAAAATGATAAAAATGAAACTATTCTATTTGAACAGGAAAGAGCTATTCATCAAGTAAAACAACAGGTTTTCCAACAAGCCTTACAAAGAGCTCTAGAAACTCTGACTTGTTGTTTGAACACCGAGTTGCATTTACGTACTATTAGTACCAATATCCGCATGTTGAGCACACTTCAAGAAATAAAAGATTAGTCTTTAATTTTCTAGCGGAGGTATTATTTTTTTTTTATAAGAATAATTTAAGAACGAATCATGGGAACGATCCAAGCCGATGAAATTAGGAATATTATTCGTGAGCGTATTGAAAAATATAATAGAGAGATAAAGATTGTCAATACTGGTACCGTCCTTCAAGTAGGCGATGGCATTATTCGTATTCATGGTCTTGGTGAAGTAATGGCAGGGGAATTAGTAGAATTTGAAGAGGGTACAATTGGCATTGCTCTCAATTTGGAATCCACCAATGTTGGTGTTGTATTAATGGGTGACGGATTGATGATACAAGAAGGAAGTTCTGTAAAATCAACAGGAAGAATTGCTCAGATACCAGTGGGTGAAGCCTATTTGGGTCGTGTTATAAATGCCCTGTCAAATCCTATTGATGGGAGGGGCGAAATTTCATCTTCTGGATTTAGATTAATTGAATCCCCCGCTCCAGGGATTATTTCGCGTCGTTCCATATATGAGCCTCTTCAAACTGGACTCATTGCTATCGATTCAATGATCCCTATAGGCCGTGGTCAGCGAGAATTAATTATTGGAGACAGACAAACTGGTAAAACAGCAGTAGCTACGGATACGATTCTAAATCAACAGGGTCAAAATGTAATATGTGTTTATGTAGCTATTGGTCAAAAAGCATCTTCTGTGGCTCAGGTAGTAACTACCTTACAAGAAAAGGGAGCCATGGAATATACTATTGTGGTAGCCGAAATGGCGGATTCCCCCTGCTACACTTCAATACCTCGCTCCTTATACAGGAGCAGCTATAGCTGAATATTTTATGTATCGTGAAAAACACACTTTAATCATTTATGATGATCTCTCCAAACAAGCCCAAGCTTATCGCCAAATGTCTCTTCTATTACGTAGACCACCTGGTCGCGAAGCTTACCCAGGAGATGTCTTTTATTTGCACTCACGTCTTTTAGAAAGAGCCGCTAAATTAAGTTCTAAGTTAGGGGAGGGCAGTATGACTGCTTTACCTATAGTAGAAACGCAATCGGGAGATGTTTCTGCTTATATCCCTACTAATGTAATTTCTATTACTGATGGACAAATATTCTTATCCGCCGATCTATTTAATGCTGGAATAAGACCTGCTATTAATGTGGGTATCTCTGTTTCCCGAGTGGGGTCTGCAGCTCAAATTAAAGCCATGAAAAAGGTAGCTGGTAAATTAAAATTAGAACTCGCCCAATTCGCTGAATTAGAAGCCTTTGCCCAATTTGCTTCTGATCTTGATCGAGCTAGTCAAAATCAATTAGCAAGAGGTCAACGATTGCGCGAATTGCTTAAACAATCCCAATCCGCTCCTCTGACGGCGGCAGAGCAAATTATTACTATTTATGCTGGAATAAATGGGTATCTTGATTCATTAGAACTTGGACAGATCAGCAAATTTCTTATTGAGTTATATACTTACTTCAAAACTAATAAACCTCAGTTCCAAGAAATCATATCGTCTACCAATACATTTACCGATGAAGCAGAAGCCCTTTTGAAAAAAAGCTATTCCGGACCAAAAGGATCGGTTTCTACTTCAAGAAAAACTTTAAATAAGTACTTCAATCAAAAAATTCAAACACAATAGAAAGATATGGAAAAATTGCGCCCAATAGGATTTGAACCTATACCAAAGGTTTAGAAGACCTATGTCCTATCCATTAGACAATGGACGCTTTGGTGCTTCTTTTTTGCGTCTTACCCCTCAAAATTATTTGTAACAATAAATAATTAGATCGGATTCTAGGTGATCTTTTTTTATTGTCTATTCCTATTCCCCTTTAAAAATATTCTCATTAATGAGCATCTCCAAATAAATCTTTCAAATAATAATCAAATAATAATTTTTTTATTCCATTTTTATTCAATATGAAATTCAAAATGATTTTCTACTTCCTTAGAAAACAACGCCCGGTTGAGTAAGGACCGGGCCGTGCGAACAAGAATAGCCTTTTCAACATTTAAATAATTGAGTAAAAAATCAAAACAAAACATCTTATAACTCTTAATTTAGATTTTTATAAAATAATATAATAAAAATATTTAAATAATAGATTGAAAAGCATAATCAAAATAAAAAAAATTACTTAGTTCTATGTTTATTATAAAATAAGAATTCTCTAAATAAAATTTGGAGAGATGGCTGAGTGGACGAAAGCGTCGGATTGCTAATCCGGTGTACGAGTTTTTCGTACCGAGGGTTCGAATCCCTCTCTTTCCATTTTTGTGGATCGTATTATTTCTTTTTTTTTTTTTTTTTTATTTGCAAATTCGTTTTATTTTATTCTTCACGTCCAGGATTACGCCTTGGATCATTAGATAGGAACCCAAAGATAAATAGAGAAACAAAAAAGATGACTACTGTGTATACGAAGAGTTTGAGAGTAAGCATTACAAACCTCCAATATTTTTTATTGAAAAAAAAATAAATAGAATATATTTTCTATTTTGAGACCACATAGGTACTATAAGGTACCAAGAAAGAAAGTTGAAATAGAGTTAATTTTCTAAAGAAAAAAATTTCATAAATCAAATTGAAATAAGAGTTTACCAAATTAAATATGGGGAATGGTCCTAATCCTAGTAGAGTCTTTTACTATAAAAAAAAGCTTTAAAAAGCAAGGAAGTTCTTATTCTTATTTTACTCAATTTGTTTAATTAAGTATTTCATCGAAAACTAACAACAGCCTGCCAAACAAAAGCTAAAAGAAAAAAAAGAACAGGTATTATTGGCATAAAATCGACGATTGGATTCAAAAAAGCATAAGATTCGGGCAATTTGCCGAATAAAAAACTACTTGAATAGAAGACAGAATTAAGACAGATAAAACTAAGCATAAAAGACATGTTTTTTTTGATAATGAATTATTAAGATATGATTTTTATAAAATTAATATAAAAACATTATATTGAATTCGTAGGGCGGGCGCAAAATATTGATTCCTCTTTTTAATTGAACCCTTCACAATGACTAGAAATATTTCAATATTTATAATACACTATAATAGAATATAGACAATATAATAATATACAAAAGAAATAAATTAACACATAAAAAAAACCAGAACCATAGAATCAAATTGATATCCATTTTAAATTCAATAGACAAAAATAAAATGGTTATTTAATTTTTGAAGTGTTGAAGTGGGGCGTGGCCAAGTGGTAAGGCAACGGGTTTTGGTCCCGGAATTCGGAGGTTCGAATCCTTCCGTCCCAAATCTTTTTGATCTTATTATTTCTATCGAATAGAAATAGTCTATTGAGATAGAAATAATAGAGAGAAAATAATCTATCTACCTAAATAAAATATATAGAAAACCTAAAAGGATAGTATGTTTAGAGACAACTCAAACCAATACTAGAACCTATGACTATTAAAGATTCCCTGATTTAATCAAGTACATATTGGTTCCAAATTCTAAGAAAGAATATTATGGTCCAACGTGGTTTGCAACGATGTGGTATAAATCAACATGTCACTTTAAAGATGAAAACCAAGATCCGTTATCTTGTTACATCCACCATTTTTTTTTATAAATAAAATAATAGGTTATTGGCTTTATAGCAGTGAATTTGTTCCATATGATCTAAATAATGCTATTTTGTAATAGAAAGAGATTTTGATGTATATAGTTTATATAGTTATAGTTATGGTTTTTTTGTATAAAAAAAGGAGGAACTTAAAATAGATTTACAACTAGAGAGATCGAAAGAACAGAATTTCCTTTATCCACTTTTATTTCAGGAGTATATTTATGTCCTTGTTCATGATCGTGCTTTAAGTGGTTTAAAAGGGTCAATTTCTGCTGAAAATATAGTATATAAAAAAAAATTTAGTTTTCAAATTGTGAAACGCTTAATTACTCAAATGTATCAACAGATACAGCTCACTAATTGTTATTATAAAAAAAGTCAAATTTTTAGAACCAGCAAGTTGTTCTATTGTAACCAGTTAGCTGAGGTTTTTGCTTTTATTTTGGAAATTCCGTCTTATTTAAGATTCATATCAGAGCGCAAAAAAAAAAAAACTCTTAAAATCTAATAATTTACGTTTACGGTCAATTCATTCCATATTTCCATTTTTTGAAGACAATTTATCACATTTAAATTTGGTATTAGATCTACTAATTCCCTCCCCCCCTCATCTGGAAATCGTGGTTCAAATAATTCGGTATTGGGTCAAAGAGGCTTCTTCTTTACATTTATTACGCTTCTTTCTATATGAGTTTTACAATTTTCAAAATTTGAATACTCCCAATAGGTCCCATTACATTTTGACAAAAAGACCTGAGCGGCTTTTCTTCTTTTTATATAACTCTTATTTATATGAATATGAATCCGTTTTTGTCTTTCTCCGCAACCAGTCTCTTCATTTAAAAGCAATCAGTTTTCGAGCACTTTTGGAAAGGAATCTTTTCTATGGAAAAATCGAATGCCTTTTAGAAGTATTTAATGAGGATTTTTCTGCAAGTATCCGTTTGTTAAAGGCTCCGGATCTTTCAATGCATTATGGTAGGTATAGGGGAAAGTCAATTATGGCATCAAAAGAAACGTTTCTTTTGATATCAAAATGGAACTATTATATTGTAAAATTTTGGGAATCTTATTTTTCTCTTTGGTTCCATACTGGAAGAATAAATAGAAATCAATTATCCATCCATTCTTTTTCATTTATGGATTATCTTTCAAGTATTGTAGTAATCCCTTCAATAATACGAAGTCAAATGTTAAAGAATTCATTTTTAATAAAAAATGCTATTCATCAATTTGATACTGTTGTTCCAATTATTCCTATCCTTAGATCCCTAGCTAAAGCTAAATTTTGTAATGTACTTGGGAATCCCATTAGTAAACCGGGTTGGACCGACTTCTCAGATTCTGAGATTATTAAAAGGTTTGGGCGGATATGTCGAAATTTTATTCATTATTATAGTGGTTCTTCCAAAAAAAACCAGTTTGTATCAAATAAAGTATATACTTAGGCTTTCTTGTGCTCGAACTCTAGCTCGGAAACACAAAAGTACTGTACGCGATTTTTTAAAAAGCTTGGGCTCGGAATTTTTAGAAGAATTTTTTACATCGGAAGAACAAATTTTTAATTTCACGTTTTCAAAGGCTTCTTCAAATTTGAGGCGAGTTTATAAAAGGCGGATTTGGTATTTTGATATTGTTTGTATCGAAGAGCATATTAATTTTTAAAAATTCATGCATCTTGTCAAATTCAAATTTTTACCAAATTATAAAATTATTAATAGAGGCAAAAAGTTTTATTTTTCCATTTGATCGTAAATCTTTCTTAAAAAGTCTAATTAAAGGGTAAGCTTAGTTTTAACTTTTTTAAAATTGACTACAGATAATTTATATATAATTTATATATATATATAGGAACGCTTATTCACAAAAATATTAAAAAAAAAATATATTCTTTACTCGAACTAACAAGTTCCAGATTGTAATTATGAGTACCAAATCGTCATACTTAAATTAAATGGAGAAAATTTGCTTGACTTAAAAAAAGGGGGCGGAATCAAATTAGATAGCTCTATTGGTTGACACGAATATCTAAGTCGTGTTATACTGTTGAATAACAAGCCTTTAATTTATTCTATTTTTTTTTATTTCGTGTGCTTGGGAGTCCCTGATTATAAAATCAACCAAGAATTGATCATGACTGCAGTTTTAGAGAGACGCGAAACCCAAAGCTTATGGGGTCGTTTCTGTAATTGGATAACTAGCACTGAAAATCGTCTTTACATTGGATGGTTTGGTGTTTTGATGATCCCGACTTTATTGACCGCAACTTCTGTATTTATTATTGCCTTCATTGCTGCTCCACCAGTAGATATTGATGGTATTCGTGAACCTGTTTCTGGATCTCTGCTTTACGGAAACAATATTATTTCAGGTGCCATTATTCCAACTTCTGCAGCTATAGGATTACATTTTTACCCAATATGGGAAGCGGCATCCATTGATGAATGGTTATATAATGGGGGTCCTTATGAACTAATTGTTCTACACTTCTTACTTGGTGTAGCTTCTTATATGGGGCGTGAGTGGGAACTTAGTTTTCGTCTGGGTATGCGCCCTTGGATTGCGGTTGCATACTCCGCTCCGGTTGCAGCTGCTACCGCAGTTTTCTTAATCTATCCAATTGGTCAGGGAAGTTTTTCTGATGGTATGCCCCTAGGAATCTCTGGGACTTTCAATTTCATGATTGTATTTCAGGCTGAGCACAATATTCTTATGCACACCATTTCATATGTTAGGCGTAGCTGGTGTATTTGGCGGTTCCCTATTCAGTGCTATGCATGGTTCCTTGGTAACTTCTAGTTTGATCAGGGAAACCACAGAAAATGAATCGGCTAATGAAGGTTACCGATTCGGCCAAGAGGAAGAAACGTATAATATAGTAGCCGCTCATGGTTATTTTGGACGATTAATTTTCCAATATGCTAGTTTCAATAATTCTCGTTCATTACACTTCTTTTTAGCTGCTTGGCCTGTAGTAGGTATTTGGTTCACTGCTTTAGGTATCAGCACTATGGCATTCAATCTAAATGGTTTCAATTTTAATCAATCCGTAGTTGATAGCCAGGGCCGGGTAATTAATACTTGGGCTGATATAATTAATCGTGCTAACCTTGGTATGGAAGTTATGCATGAACGTAATGCTCACAATTTCCCTCTAGACCTAGCTGC